AGTTTTCCATTCTACTCTAATCTACTCCATTACTCCACTTTTAAAGTAATGAGTTTTTGGTTTCAGTATGCATTGAGTTTTAGTAATGTTTGAATATTTTCTGAGCAGTATAAGCTGACTTATACTACTGAGTTTTGTACTACTTAATGAATTTTATTTCAATAAATTTTCCATGCTGAAAAAATAATACTAACAATCGTGAAGCCATACATGTTAATGTTGAAATTTTCATTAGTTTCGCAGTTGTATTTTTTGGATGAATTTCATACATAGTGTTTAAAAAATTACAGAAAACTTTAAAAAAAATTTAGTACTAGCTGCAAGAGATTGGTAATATACGATTAAACAGATTCTGTTGAGAAAAAAATAATTTTTTTCTATTAAAGTTTCAAAATAAGTTACGAAGTTTTTCAATGAAGGGCCCTAAATTAAAGGAAATGTAAACAATCTTTTCGAAATAAGCATTTTTTGGAGAAATTCAACACACATAAGTGTAAATATATTAATTGAAATAGACTAATTATTGTTTTATAGTTATTCCAGTCAAAAGTTCCAACTGCTGGCAAAATGTATAAGTACTTTTGAAATTTTAAGAAAATAATACTTTCCTTTAAAATGAATGTGGCAAGTTATACTTAGTTAATCTTTCTATGTTTTCCTTTAATTGATTTTTAAAATCACGATCATTTTTGGAACGAAGCAAAATTAGATTAAAAAAAGTACATACTACAAAACCACTTAAAAGAATTTCGAATAAGCGTAGTATTTCAATAAGACCTACAATTTGTTAATTTAAACACTTTGACTTTAGAAAAAAGCATAAAATGTTTTTAGATAATCGTACATGTGTGGTGTAGTAAAATTTAGCAGAAATTAATTCTTAAATATATAAACGTTAAGTTTAAAAATATTTCCACTTCTTAGCCCTAGTCTTTGAAATGTATGACATATTGTAATATACGTCTGTATCTGATTTCCTTAGCAACAACGAAATCGTATTCAACTTTAAAAATTTAATATAAAAAATTTTATTATAAAAAAAGCAATTAAAATATTTAGAATATGGGTGGAGTATTCAAAATAAATATATTACAATTCACATTAAAAGAAAATTATTTTGAGTCTCACATACTCTCTATTAATTTGTTTCTAAATAGATATATAAAACATAATTTTCTATATATCTATGTTGTGTATTTTGTGTTTTTATTTGTTGTGGTAATGAAGAATATGTTAGCTTTTTTATTGAAGTGTAAAAAAAAACCGAGGAAGAACTTTGTCAGCACATTTAAATTTAAAAAGTCTACAAGCAGTCTACAAGTAATTGTGAAAATATTTAGCTTTAGTACAGCTTTTACGCCTATATATAAAAAAGAACATTGAAAAACAAAAAACTGAAAATAACATTTTTATTTTAAATGCAGTTTTGTACAATATATTCAAATTTCTGAAAATATAATTCAAAATTTTTATTTCTATTATATTGCTAGTTTTATCTCTTCTTTACTTTTATTCTTTTTCTCACTTGAACAATATTTGAAAATTTTGAAAATGGAAATATTTATTTATTTTTAAATTTATATCTTAAAATGAAATTTTTATTTCAAAATCGAATTTTTTGTTCCATTAAAAAAATATATATAAAATTAAACATGCAAGAAATATTATCTTAAATTTTGAGTGGTTACCTTATTTTTTTTTTATTTAATTTTTAAGATAAATTATTTCATTTCTATTTTAAGATTTGGCAATTGCCGACGTCCCCATTTCAAGTGTTCAACTTGACGTGTCTCTTGTTTTACTGCCTCAAAAACTATGAGACTTAGGAAATTGAAATGTGAAGGATTGTTGAAAAATATGCATTGAGTATGATGATATAAAATATGATGTTTAATAATTACTGAACAGCGTGAAATCTATCGTACGAGTAGCTCTACATACCACAGTTCTACAGAATTAAAATTTGACATGCGCAAAGAGTCATTTTTGTTTGTAAATTTGATGCAAATTTCGGTTCGAAGTTTAATTTTGATTAAAAGTTATTGTAAATTTAAATGTTTTTCTTTGTGATTTTTTCAGCTTTCTTTGCTTTAAGAATTGACAATTTATTCACTGTTGCAAAAAACATACTTTTCGCCCACAAGATTTTTTTTACTCCTTATTTTATAAGCTCCCTTTCAAATAGATGTTGAAAACCGAAAAATGGTTTGGTTTTTTATTATCCTGGAGTTCTTATGTTTTTATTGCTTCTGTAAGGTCCAGTAAATAGCAACATGGCTTACAGATTTTGCTGTTCGTAAGGTTGCTATAAGGAAACCCTACACCTGTTTCGTTCAGAAGTATGTATTTTTGTTGTTGGCTGCTAAAAAGTTACAACAATTCTATTATACTTTTATTTAATTTTATATATAAAAGATAAAAAGAAAAGAGAGAATAACGAAGAAAATAAAGAAAAATAAAAATAAGTTTTAGTAACTGATAATAAGCTATTAAGATAACTCATAATAAAAAACAAAAAATATAGAGAATACACGGAAAAAAATTTTTTTATAAAGATTAATGAAAAAAGAAGGAAAATTATTAAAATAAAATGTTTTTTTAAATATTTAAAGAAATTTTATTGAAAAAAAGCTGGAAAATAAAATAATTCAAATATATAATCTCGTCATCAGCTCACCCGATTATATCAGCAGAATAGAGTGCTTTCTAATACTGTATTAGATAGCCAAAGAAAAATATATCAATACAATAGTGTGATTAGCACCCAACAAATTGAAGCGAAAATAGAACTTATTAAGCAAAAAATATAGTAAATAAAACAAATTAAGCAAAAATAGAATATAAACAGCAAGAAAATTACAGAATAAAATACAAAATGAAATCTTTAAAGTGAAAATGAATTCAAATGAACACTTTCCGGTATTTTTCAAAAAGGATTTAAAATATTTTCGTAACAAGTTTGGCAGATATATGAAATAGAATAACGAAAATATGAAATAGAAGCGTAAATAGATGGACATTTTTATCGCGCTTTCTTACTATAGTACTGATGCGTGTTTTATTTGTTAGTTACCTTGGATTTGTCAAAAAATAGATGCGCGCAAGGTATTAATAATATACTGGATAGTTTAAAATGTATAATTAATAAGGTGAATTATTAATTATACAATTTTAATCATATTAGAAAAAATATTAACAATCGTTAAAAAATGATTTTCCCGAATCAGATTTGCACAATATTTATGTATGAATAAATATAGATTCAGTTAACAAAGAAGTTTTTATTAATAATAACAACTTCTAATTAACTCATTATTTTATATAGAGCTAAATTGCATTATTTGGATATCTATTGTTTTTTTTGTCTATTTGTTCTTTGGATAAATAAACATTACTATAATCTTTCAATTCTTTTAATTTGATTAAAAATGGTATTTAAATATTTCTTTTAAAACATTAGAATTCCAAGCAATTACTTTAGTATAAATCAAAAATGCAGATATTTTCTTTTTTAATACCTTAATCCAAAAAATTCAAATTAATATTTTCATCATATTTACGATGCAAGGTTAATTCCTTGGGTCCTTAAAATTAAAGATAATCAAATCATCAATAAATCTAAAAGCAAATTTAATATTAAGAGTATAATTTTTTCATAGTAGTGTAATCATAAGTCAGCTAAGAGAGATCATTTTGGTATTCTATCAATTTGATTAAAAGTATGCTTTCCATCTTAAAGATAATTATTAAAAAGACAAATATTAATTAAAATTTCACAATAATCAAAATTGCAATTAAGGATATTTTTATAATCATAGTAATAACTTAAAAGAGAATATTTTTGATTAGAAAGGAGAATGTTATTGAGGACATGCTGGAAATCAAAAGTTGCAATAGAATTATTTTTATTTTGTTTAATAAATTCTGAAATAGGTTGATCATTAGTTATAATCCAAGAAAAACCATCTTTAATTTTGTTAATATTTTTATATTAGTAGTCAGAGAAAATGGTGCTGGGTTTAATTAGGTAAGTATTAGAATCACGTGTGATTATTGTTCTAAATTTTATAAAAAAATTTTTGAAATTTTCAACTGATAATTATGTAAGGAAATTTAATATTGTTAATTTAAATTTTTTATCCTCTAATATAAATCTAAAAATTTTAATGACAAATTATTTCGTAGTTGCTTAATTGATCAATAAATTTTAGACAACTTTTTTAATATTTTCTGCCATTTAAATTTCTCTTAATATTGAAAACAAAGTTTTTAAAAGAAATAATAAACAGCTAATTTCCATTCATTTTACTGTAAATGGGCTTAAATTTTGCTCATTATAATTCCTAGTTGTAAGTTTTCTCTATTATTAAAATTACCAGTAATGTTTATGATGTAAATCAACAAATTCAAAACATTTATCGTTTTCACAGATATATAAATGTATATATAATCTCTATAATACAAAATTACAATGGAAATATGCTTCAATTAGTGCATGTTATTTATTGATTAATATTTTTATTATAAATATATTAGTTTGAAGCAAAACATAAAATATTTTTTCTGACAAAATATATGTTTTACATATTTTAAATATTAAATTAATTTTCGGTAAGAAAACATATACTCATGACTGGAAGATTACGTTGTTTACAAAAAATAAATATATAAAAATATATGTTGTAGAAAAAAAAATATATAGAACAATTTTTAAATAAAGATATTATTTTTAATGCTGAAATTAAGTTACATTACCTTTTACCATAAATTTTGCACGGTTACATTTCTTCAATTATAAAAATGATTATTGAAAAACAAAATAATGTAAGGAATGAATAAATGAATAACAAATAAATAAATAATACGAAACAGATAATAAAATAAATAAATAATAAAATAAGTTTATAAAGAAATTTTATAAAATAAAACAGGGCTTAAAATATCAATTTTAACCAATTTACTGTATGTTTCACGTAAAATTTGTCTTTAGAATCTCTTACCTTATAAATCATTTTTCCTTTCGTGCAAAAAAGAAAGTTCGAAACTGTAACAAGGTGTTTACAAAGATTTATGAATTTAAAAAGAGTTTTCCTCTTCTCCTTCAAAAAGTTCGAAGATTTATTTCATCATGGAACACTTTGAACTCTTCAAGCGGACCGAAAATTGAGAGCTGTTCTCTCATTAGACGCAGGGAGCGTAAGAACTTTTCATCCAACAGAAGGAAGATGAGGATAGCAACTGACGAACTTAAGCTTTGAGGAAAATTCTCCCTCATCCTCGAGCAACTTGGGTCGCACAAACTATCGGCGCTTTAACAGAAATGATGCTAGAGCATGTACGATTCTTTTCTGCTTCAACCAATGAAAAGAGAACGTAGGCTGTTGTTTCCACCAATCAGTAAGAGAAAGTTTTAAGTTCTTTAGAAAAGGAAGAAAGAGAAGAGGCGACTAGACAAATGTCATTTTACCGCACTTGTTAGTGTCTTGAAAGTTGCAAAAGGAGGAGGGAGGTGCTCAAGGCATGGATTTTTTAAAGTTTAAAAGAAGTTGTTTGGAAAATGCTGTTTTTTATTTAAATGATTTTTTTTCTTCCTGAAACTATTTGTAAAACTATGAATAGATAAAAAAAGGAATTCAGTTAAGTTTTTTAAGCTTCATTTTTTGCTATAATTAAGCTTTTTAGAGGAAGTTTTGAATTGTTTTTTTATTAACAAGTAAGTATTAAAAATATAGTTTTAATCAATAGTGTAGGATCAAGACATGGATGGAAAATACATATATTACAAGTACAATCTACCAATACAATAGTAAACGAATTTTGTATTATTTTGGAATATAAGATCCTAAAACTTCATTATTTTTATATTTTTTAGTAAAAACTATAGATCATTCTATATAAAATCGAATACAAAATGTTGACATTGAAAGCACTAAATGAATAAGGGATGCACAGATTTTAATTTTAATCTAAGACCTTAAGTAAATGTAAAATTATTTATTCGCATTTTTTTCAAATAAATACTTACAAAGATGTAATTGCTTGACAGAATTTTATTATAACTTTGTAATTAATTAATTAATTTAAAATTTTGATGCCCCAAAACATAGTTTACAGTAACAAAGTTGAATCGACCTACTTAAATAATTATTTCAGAAGCTATTTAAATAATATAGTGCAAGCCTGTATGTTACACGTCCATAAGAACATTCATAAGTATTTAAATTCATTTCCTTTTAAAAATTCAATACTATATGTATTTTTTTAAGAAAAGAAATCACCGTCTAGATCACATTCAGTGCACAACTAAAAATGTTTCAGTCAGGGAATATTATGCTAAAAAATGAAATTATTCCCAGAAAGTTAATACAAATATAAAAATGCGTGGCTGCCCGCAATTATTTGCTCCTAAAATATACGGCTACCGACCATAAATTGGAATAATGACTTTAAAGGTTTTCTTCAGTTTGAGAATTAACGTTGTTTGAGATGTTCCAATTAGTTTGTCGAAATGGAAAAAGGGGACGTAATGCAGTGCTGCCATCTGTACCGGAGTGAAAGAGTTACATATTCACTGTACAGTATGTGCGAGAGAGGTGCTCTTTAGAACTTAATGGGATCGAGCTTAGGACCTTTAAGAGAGAAGCAGGACCTTGAAACTACTGTAAAAAAAGTGTACGACGGCACGGCCGAACTAGGAAAATTAATATAGCGAATATAGCATTATGTAATTCAACCAGTAATAAAAATAATTTATTTCGATTGCATGAAATTTAAAATTAATTATCTGTTATGAGATAATTTTAGCTTAAAAGGTTTCATTTATTTATAGTTTTTGATTATGATATATTTTAGTTTAATTCGATTAAAATATTTTAACAACATTATCAATTTATACATATTTTTGTATTGCTTACTCAGCTGAACTTCGTGTTCAAATTAGTTTTGTTCAGGTATGGGTGAAAAAAACAATTATTGAAATTTAATTCATTCAAAAATTATTATGTGGAATATAAAGTAAATCGTATGTGTAAAAAGTTAACTTGAATATATATAATCTAAGCATAGGGAATATATTGAAATATATGCTCATTATATACTGAAATAAATACGGTAAGATGATGTTTCCAATTATGATTAATACGGTAAGATGATGTTTCCAATTAAAAGACCGGACGTATGCCCAAATAAGAAAATGACAAAATGTACTTATCACATACAGGAAAATTTGATAAAAATAACACTGGAGTCATAGAAGAACAGAATCTTTTATTAATTTTTTAAATCACACACCAACATACAAAAACAGATAATTGAGTATGATGTTAGGGAAATTATTTTTAACAAATGCTAGGGTTTTTACAAAGAAATGGGTGACGAGAGTAATTTAAAAATTTTATAAAAATTACTCAATCGTATAAGTCAATAAATTACGTATTACATTATGTAGATACAAAAGAAAGTAATTTAAAGGGTGATGAGAAGATAAATACAAGAGAATCATTTAAATTTAAAAAAAAATTATATGATTTTCAAAGAAATTTCTAAGGTATAAAAGGGTAGATATAAAGAACATTAATTTACTGAAATTTAAAAGGATTTGAAGATTTTACATTATTATTTTTAGTCAAAAAGTAAGATGTGGGAAAATGAATTCATTCTCTCGATACAGACCAAAGTCCGCATCTCAGAGAAAGAGCAGAGATGTCACTTAGTGTAGAACTGGTGTAGAACCAGAAAAAGTGATAGCCAATTAAATTTAAAGAGAAGGAGAGTTTAAAAGTCACATAAAAGAGATTGTCCCCCTTAAAGAAAAGAGAGAAAAAGAAAGGCGAGTAAAGAGGGGTATCTCTCCCCACCGGAAGTGCAATGACTGTGTTGACCATCGAGGAAAAGGCGAATAGAATGTTAAAATAAATTTAAACTGCTATATATAAAAAAAGAAAATAAAGGTTCAAGAAAACTAAAGTATTAGATATAAATAAAAGATTAAATATAAATAAAATAAAAATTTTGTTACTTGCACAAAGTGTAAATGTCACACATATGTTAAGCACATATGTACAAATAAAAGACTTGGGCTGGTTTTAATTCCCAAAGAGCACAAGTGGTAATATGACATAGCATTCATTCGCAAACAGAAATACACGATATTTTAAACATTTTTTAATGTATCAAATCGTTCTATGAAACCACAGGCTAACTTATTTATTATATTTTCTTAAAGTACTTCTCAAACTTTTGTATACGTTAAATAGTTTCGATTATTGTTGCAATATAGACTATTTTTGTTGTCATTTGTTGTAATTAAAACTTTTTTTTTATAGAAAGGATGAGGTAAATCATTCTCCATCTTAAGATCTTACGCAGAAATAATTCATGACATAGGAATAATTTTTCGACTTTTTTTTTCATAATTTGTTTTTTGTAATTTATGTTTATCTCAAATTGGAACTTATTGATCAACATTTTGATAATTTTTAAATCGATTGGAAACCTCAATTTGTAAATGTATCATCCATTTCCGAGATAAAAAAAAATACAGTTTCATTCGTTATTTGATTTAGATCCGAAGCTATCCGAAACATTTTCTGGGAGTTTGTAGGTTTTAGCGAGCAAAGTTTGTTTGATCCCTTGTATATTGTATTTTAGTTTAGAACCATCGTTGAACAATCAACTGAACTACTCACTTTAGGGCTATGGATGTTCAATTCCAGAGTGTTCAATTCCTTGTAATTTCCGGGAGACAAGGGAACTTCTGGATTAAATATTGGGAAAAATTTGCCTTCGTGAAGGATTTCTGGTAAGTGGGTTCTAATGCCACTTGCCACATGGGCAAGCCTGCTTGGTGAAACCGAGCAAATTTAAGGCAGAGTGTACGATTTTTGTTTTTCAGTGGCGCCATCTATGGCCAAGAATTCGACTTCTGCCACATCATACGTCACACCTGTTTATAAGGCCGACCCATTCATATATCCATTCATTCATCCACAGATCGTAATTTTGAGGATCGATCTCCAATCCAGTACCCCCAGAGGTATTGATTTGTTTTAGGAACATGGAGGACTTTGCGACACGATAGAATTTTAACGTGCATTAGTCACCAACTGCACGGGGAGTCTTCGGTCGGCGGGGTTCGAGCCCATGAACTCTCGGACATGGGCCCAGTGCCCTACCGACCAGGCTATCCCAGCCGTATTGTATAGGATTTCTAGATGGATCTAACTCGTAATCATGTTACAAAGAGAGGAAAACGTCGAAACCTCCCATGGTTAGCCAGGCGGCGGGAACTCTGACCCATGATCTGTCTACCACAGAGGATATTTTACGTCAGCACTATGGTTTGTGATAGCAGGATACGGAATTCGTATAGAACAGCCATCACTGGGATTTAAACCCGTGTCACCTTATTTGGAGTTTAGTGCTTTATCCCCTGAGTCACTATGGTTCAGATTCTTCGAAAAGTAAGGAAGAAAATGCATTTTTGATTAGTGTAATCGTTTCTAAACGGCATATCTGTAAATTTTCCTACTTTTTCACCCAACTACAAAGCGTTGACTATTCAAATTCAAATTGATAGAATTCTTTAACTTACAATTAAAAATAACTTTCGATAATCAATCTAAATTTAAAAAATGATCTAGCCTGGTTTACGTAAAAATAAACGTTCTTTAAAATACATAAAAAAAACTGCTTTTTTCAGATATTGAAATTTAAATTTGATTTCAATCTTTTCAAAATATTCATTGATCTGAATATTCTCTGTCTGGTTTATAAATGTTTTGTAATATTTATTCAATTTGAAGTCTCAAATTTTATCATGCTTGTAAATACAAGTAAGATTGAATCATTTATGCGAACTACTTTTTAATAATTTTATACTTTTTATTTGCAATATAGTTACGTGTTTGTATGATGGTGCTAGTTATAGTTAATTTCGGTAGATTCTCTTTATACAACATAAATATATGCAGAGACAGTTTATCCTCTTCGTTCATTTATATGCAAGCCGATTCATATAATCTTATATATGTATATCGAGTAAGATCCATCTATATAATAAATCAATTTATCTTAGACTAAACTCAATATGTAAAATTTCTCTTTTTAGACACCTAATAATAGACTTCATAAATCTTCCAATTTTATCAGTTTTTTCTTCTTCTTTTGATTTACGGATTACATATTGCAAATATAATTTATACAGAAATTTTTAAATAAATATATTATTTTATTTCAAGAAAAACGATATATATTTTATAACACTGTTCGTACAGAGAAAATGTAGGATTTAATTTCAAAATAAATACACTAAAATGTA